GATGGATGGATAGCTGTGTATGGGGATGGATGGATGGATGGATGGATGGATGGATGGATGGATGGATAGTTGGTTTGGGGATGGATATATGGATGGACGGATGGATGGATAGCTGTGTATGGGGATGGATGGATGGATGGATGGATGGATGGATGGATGGATGGATGGCTGTGTTTGGGGGTGGACGGATGGACGAATGGATGGACAGATAGCTGTGTATGGGGATGGATGGGTGGATGGATGGATGTATCGACGTGTAAGTGGTTGGATGGATGGATGGATGGATGGATGGATGGATGGATGGATGGATGGATGGATGGATGGATGGATAGCTGTGTTTGGGGATGGATGGATGGACAGATGGACAGATAGCTGTGTTTGGGGATGGATGGATAGCTGTGTATGGGGATGGATGGATGGATGGATGGATAGCTGTGTATGGGGATGGATGGATGGATGTGTATGTGAATGGTTGGATGGCTGGATGGATGGATGGATAGCTGTGTATGGGGATAGATGATTGGATGGATGGATAGCTGTGTATGGGTATGGATGGATGGATGGATGGATAGCTGTATTTGAGGTTGGATGGATGGATGGACGGATGGATGGATTATTGAATAGCTGTGTTTGGGGACGGATGGATGGACGGATAGCTGTGTATGGGGATGGATGGATGGACGGATGGATGGAAGCTGTGTATGGGGATGGATGGATGGACAGATGGCTCTGTTTGGGGATGAATGGATGGACAGATGGATAGATAGCTGTGTTTGGGGATGGATGGATGGATGGATGGATGGACAGATGGACAGATGGATGTGTAAGAGGATGGATGGATGGATGAATGGATGGATAGCTGTGTATGGGGATGGATGGATGGATGGATAGCTGTGTATGGGGATGGATGGATGGTGTGACGAACTGGGACTTTTTTTAATGTGGTCTTTGAATGCTGAGTGGGGAGTGTGGCTAGGACGATCTGCATTGGGGGATGGGAGACTGGCCTTGAGGGAAGATCCCGGAGCCTGTAACGTGAGAACCCAGGAGGGGGTTGGGGCCAGGTGACACGTCTGCCCAGGAAACTGGACAAAGGCTGGGGGAGGAGCCGGGGGAGGCCGGATGAGAGACACTGGAGGGACTGAGAGTTTCAGGAGCTGTCTGGTAATGGAGGGAGCCCAGATGGGGCTCTGACCGCCCCAATGGGGCTGTGGTGCCCCAAGATGGACCTAACTGGGGGGGGGTCCTGTTGTCTGTGCCTGCAAGACCTGTCTTGGACTGTGTTCCTGTTGTGTAAGGGTACGTCTTCACTTACCGGAGGGTCCAGCGGCAGGCAATCGATGTTCTGGGATCGATCCCGGAAGTGCTCGCCGTCAACGCCGGTACTCCAGCTCGCCGAGAGGAGTACGCGGCATCGACAGGGGAGCCTCCCTGCCGCGTCTGGACCCGCGGTAAGTTCGGACTAAGGTACTTCGAATTCAGCTACGTTATTGCGTACCTTAGTCCGAAGTGGGGGCTTAGTGGGGACCAGGCCTGAGAATCATAGAATCATAGAATAGAATCATAGAAGATCAGGGTTGGAAGGGACCTCAGGAGGTATCTAGTCCAACCCCCTGCTCAAAGCAGGACCAACCCCAACTAAATCATCCCAGCCAGGGCTTTGTCAAGCCGGGCCTTAAAAACCTCCAAGGAAGGAGATTCCACCACCTCCCTAGGGAACCCATTCCAGTGCTTCACCACCTTCCTAGTGAAATAGTGTTTCCTAATATCCAACCTAGACCTCCCCCACTGCAACTTGAGACCATTGCTCCTTGTTCTGTCATCTGCCACCACTGAGAACAGCCGAGCTCCATCCTCTTTGGAACCCCCCTTGAGGTAGTTGAAGGCTGCTATCAAATCCCCCCCCCCCACTCTTCTCTTCTGGAGACTAAACAATCCCAGTTCCCTCAGCCTCTCTTCATAAGTCATGTGCTCCAGCCCCCTAATCATTTTTGTTGCCTTCCGCTGGACTCTTT